ACGGTCCTTCGACCAAATAAGGTGGTTACCAGCTCAGAAGACGCTGACAAGCTGGAGAAAGTTGGGCATGTTAAGATTGGTTTCGTGTCCTGCAAGGTGAGAAGAAGAGTTATTGTCAAAAAGTGACATAGGTGCCTTGACTACGGACATGTAGGTCGAAACTGACAAGGAGTAGATAGGTCGGTCCTTGAGGAGGCAAAAAGACTTTCGCAAGAACTAGAAATAAATAGGCCAGTACAAGAACGGGACGGAAGAGTTGCGTCAGCGACTAAACTGGATTTTTACCTGACGAAGTTTAAAGCCATTAGGTAGTTCCGTGGGTTGAAGAAAAGTCTAGATAAAGACAGGAATGGTTTTTAGTGGGTTGACCAGAACAAGAGCATAACAAGAACATAACCTGGAATTCATTACCCAGGTATCTGAATTTAGATTTTCCACTTTCGACTACAAAAAAATGGAAATTGACGGAGAACCTTTTAAGTTAAAATAACTGAGACTGGAAATTAGTTAAATAACTGAGACTGAAAAAAGTGAAGCTCCAGTGTTTAATCAAACATTTACTTACGGGATGAAGATAGCAAAACTTTCCGCAAGATTACGTTCTACCAGGGCACAGACAGTTTTCACAAAATCTGTCAACGTACAGTGGGCACGTATCTTTTAAGTTACTTAAATCCAAAAGTTTTTTTTAATGTATGCAGAAACGTAGTTGTAAAATAGAAAATACAATAGCAATGTAATGACACGCTGCAAGAAGTGCATCACAGCCAGTCCCTAACACAAAGCAGAAGCATGCAGCGAGTGTAAAAGTTTCTTATTTCGTAATCGTGTTTATGCATAAATTTAAAAAATCTTTTGGATTTAGGTAATTTACAAGATACGCTGGCAGATTTTGTTAACAGTGTACTAAGAAAAAAATGCTATTGAATGTATAGCACGCATTTTCGTATGAGTTCAAAAGCACATGTAATTAACTTGATGAGTAGTTCAGTTCGTCGCTTAGGGTCAGCATCATGCCGACTCAGCTAAACGGTGAAAGAGATGCCGTCTCAAAAAGAAAAGTGAAAAAAATGATTATTGTTCTGAAATGTCATTTTCTGAATTGTCATGTTTACGAAATGTCACTTTTGTGAATCGCCATTTTTACGAATTGTCACTTATGCGAAAAGTTTTTTTTCGAATTGTCATTTATGCGAACTGCTTACAAGTTTACTATAGCAATTTTTACAAAAATGACAATTCGCAACAGTAACATTTCGTAAAAATGTCAGTTCGCAGAAATGACAATTCGCAAAAGTGACAATTCGTAAAAATGTCGATTCGCCATAATTACATTTCGTAAAAATGACAATTCGCAAAAATGAATTTTCTCAAAAGTGACAATTCGTAAAAATGGCGATTCACAAAAGTGACATTTCGTAAACATGACAATTTGAAAAATGACATTTCGGAACAATAACGATTCGCATAAATGACAATTCGAAAAAATGATATTTCGCAAAAATGACTTTTCGAAAAAGTGGCAATTCGTAAAAATGTCGATTCGCAACAGTGACATTTCATTAAAATAAAAGTTCGGATAAATGCAATTCGGTAAAATGACAGTTTGGTCAAATGACATTTAAGTAATAATCATGCGCCTCAATTACTTTTTCCAAATAATTATTTCTCAGCGCTTCCGCGACATTGCATAGTTTACACAGATTTCGTGAAATGCCATATTTTTCCCTTTACTTTTTGAGACAGCATTTTTTTCTTCGTTTAGCTGAGTCGGCATGATGCTGCCCCCAAGCGACCGACGATTTGATTAAAAGCATTTTCTTCAGGGAATAAAGTAATTTCATTAAATTCTTAAAAAAATAAACAATGATACATCCCAATCAGCACAACATTTTAGCTCTCCCCCTGTGCGAACACTGTCTGGACATGTTAATACAACATTGCCAGAAAATATTGAGGTAATGTTGCCTCGCTATAGTGAGGTAACATTACTTCGCAATATGATAAGAAATATTATAATTATTTTAATATCACAGACGCACAAAAAAATAAATGTGTGCGTTGGGGGATCGGACCACCCTTTCCTTATGTGTTTTGATGTGGTGAACACGAATCTGAAGTCTATTTTGTGCCAGCACGTCAGGATTTCTCCTTACCTCAAAAAATGTTTTGGATTTAATATGACACAAATATTTTTAAATGATCATGTATTTGCTTGAATCTTCTTACTCGGAGGTTTTTAGGTTCGCTGTTAACGAATCTGAAGTCAGATTTTTAAAATTCAAAATGGCAGATCCAATATGGCAGACGAATTTAAAAAAATTGTTTGATTTCTATGACACTTGATATCTAGGGGTTCTTGGGATTGCTATTTTGAATTTTGAGAATCTGACTTGAGATTTACAATTAGCGATTACATAAACCTCTAGATTACTCCCGAGTAAGGCGTCATCTTACGAGGGGGAGGGAGGGTAAAATCTTCTAAAAAAATGTCTTATGTAATTTATAGATGGCCCCTAAGAAGATTTAAGTAAGATAAGATAAAAAGATAAAGATAAGATCATTTAAAAATGTTTGTCTGTCATATAAAATCTGACACATTTTTTGAGGTTTGAAAAAATCCTGACGTACTGGAACAAAATGGACTTCAGATGCGTATTTAGTACATCAAACTACATAAGGATAGGGAAATCTGATCCCACAACTCCGACACTTTTATTTTTTTTTGTGTGGCTGTGTAATTATTTAATAAAACATAGTGATATAATATATATTATATAATTATATATTAGAAAATTATAATACTTTCAGGCAATGTTGCACTGTTAGAAAAGTCTACTAAATGTAATAAATAGTATATGAAGTAAGTATGCAATACCTCTATTTAAAATGTAAATACTATAATATTAAATATAATACAACCCAGATGCCATAGAACATTTTTGTTCACGAACATCCGAGGACAATGATGGTAATGCTTCTGAAACATCGTGTTGGCAACTATAAGATGTCTATAAGTACCCTAATATATTTTAAACATCCCGGTCAAAATAACTGGGAATCTATGCATTGGTGAAAATCAATTTTCCATAATCGGATTGGCTTAAAATTTGTTACTTGGGGGTATTTGAGGTCACTGATTACGAATCTAAAGTCAGATTTAAAAAATTTTAAATGGCGTCTTCAATAAATATATGCTTTTGGGGTCGATTTTGGTTCTAAAAGATAAAGGTTAAAGCTTTTTTTTAAGTCATATTAAAGCTTTTTATGCCTTCATATTTTCTTTTCACAGGACTTCAAAAAGTCCAAAAAACGACGTTTTTTGGTAATTCAACAAACCTTTTTAGGGGTATGAATAAATTCAAAATTTTTTTGTATTTTCTTCTTCATTGACACCCAAACATTCAATAAGCACAGGAATTTTGAATTAAACACATTAATGTTTTTTTCTTACCCAGTGTTATATTAAATTTAATGTAAATTATATTAAATTTGGTGTAAAAGTATATTAATCTTGATAAAAATGGATATATTAAATTTTAAAACTGGTATTGCATATTTGCCTCGTATACAATTTATTAAATTTAATACAGATTTTTCTAACAGTGTCTTCAAAAAAAGTACACTATATTTATTATCTCCTTATACTTTATTCCTTGCTCTTCGGACATGAATCTGTATTGCCCAAAAAATTATTGATTCCTGCTTAGATACAAATGATTCATGTCTGGAGATGGTAAAGAATATTGTCCACTAAAATATATTTTTTGAACCACAATTATTTTTGTCTGGACGTTAAACAGTCATGTTTCTTTTTCTTAGTGTAGTTTACAATAGAAAAACAATAGGACAAAATTCAATGTCCGCTTTAAATAGGTCAGGTCATAATTTCGGCGTGGGTAGAGGTATGATTTGTTATAATTTTTTACACATTTTCATGAAATTAATTTTCAGTTTCATATTTTATGTTTCAAAGTGCTTTACTTAGCTCAAGTAACAAAAATGTTTGCAACATTTTCAAAGTTATAGGTGTCTACTACAAACTTTAATTATATCGGAAAGCTTCTTTCAATTTTCAAATTGAGTAAAATGCGGGAAGTGAGAAGAAACGTTTTTTATCACATATTGAATGTCATAGTAAGTGAGAGACGCATAAAAACCTTCTTCCGAGAGAATAGATTGCATTACTAGAGTAACATTTTAATTATTTCCTTCTATAAGAGAAACAGAAAAATAACAATTGAAAATTTTTTAATCGTAATTTGTATCAAAATGTCTCTTATTATTTTTATTTTATTAGATATACTCTGCAATAGTTTTAAATAATTTTTTTCAAAATACATCTACTTATTTCAAAGCTACATTTATAATTTTAACATTTCGTCAACTAAGTTTAATATAATACTTCAATAACGTTTTAACTACTATTAATTTTAATCTTATTATATAAATATTTTCTTTTTCTCTTGTTCGAAAAGAAATAAAGCTGTCACTTGAAAAGGATTTTAATTCACTTTACTGTACAGGACCGATTAATATCCACGGTTTAATTGATTTCATCAAAATATTTTTCTCAGCGGAATGAATTTTTATTATTCAATCGCGCACATTTTCAGATTAATTTAAAAGATTTAATAACATCAACTATGCATTCAATAAGGTTTATAATTCATTTAATAAATGAATTATTGAATAATGCATTCAAATAAGTTGTAGTTTTCAAAATTTTCAATTTTGATGTCGAATGTTTGGCATTCAAAGTCGCTATTTAAAAAAATAACTTTTGGAATGCGTAATCATTTTTCAAGAATAATTTATTGTTTCCAATTATCAAATTAATGTGTGAGAAATCTGTCCTTGGTAAAGTTTGGAAGAAAGAGAGACGCGTCATTGATTTACTATAATTCTGACAATCTGTGATAGAAAAGTCCGCTCTCTGATAGTGGACGCGAATTGAAGAGCCGCCATTCCGTTTCTCAAATTGACGTTGTAACACTTACCGAGTAAGGATGCGAAGACCATGACGAAACATGTTCCTAGATAGACGTCGATGGACTTGACGTAGGAGATTTTAGGAAGGGCCGCATTGGTCGAGGACATAAGGGTCGTCATGGTGAGCACAGTGGTTACTCCGAGGGCGACCCGAGCGGGGGTTGCGTTTCGGTTTAGCCAAAAGCTCACCCATGATATGATCACGATCAGTCCAGAGGGAATGTAGATCTGGATCAGGTAGTATCCCATTGAGCGAACGAACTGAATTTCACATGCCAAACGCGAGTAATTACCTGTGAAAAAGAAAAACATCTCAGTTGTGTCAAATCTGTTCTGAAATTTTCTTATTTTACATTTATGTTTTCTCCAAAATTCTGGAAATTTCTGCATGTAATTTATCATTTAATTTGTTTGCCTTTGAACAATGGTTATAAATAGGTAATTGCTGCTTTTCAGCAAAGTTACAGCTGTCAGATTGATACACAGAGAAAAATGTTTATTCCTAGCAACCAACATTTTGTTGGGTTAAGCAAATGAAATAAATTTCAAGCAAATGCGTTAAATTTTTAAAACGTATATCCGACATTTTGTATCAGTTTCTTTCGTAGTTTTGCTCCTCTTTCTCCACACTTATAATGAACTTTTTAACAACTTATGACTTTCTGGTTTTTATCATGTGAAAGAGCGTCTCAAATTCTATCTAAATAGTAAATCAAAATATATGATCTGTTCTAGAAAAAACAAACAAAAACTCAAGTTGAATAATAAAATTATGTAAAGATGTGACTAAAAAATGGAATAGAACGAATGTCGTACATAAATTTGATTGTAAAGACTGCCCAGCAACAAATATAAGTGAGACAAAGCGATTATTACAAACTCTTATCAATGAACACAAAAAAGTGAACAATAATTCTGTAATGTTTACCGATATCGTATAAAGTTTAATCACGATTTTCATTGGGAAAATGATAAAATATTGAACAATTAACCTAATTTTAAAGAGCGACGAATACACCGGCACACAAAAAAATAAAATTTTGAGTGTAAAGAGGGCCATATGGTAGGTTCGCTTCCTTAGAATGTATCTAACGAGAAAAACGTAGTCGGATCTAAAGTTTAGTGCTGGTATTCTTTTCAGGCCTTCACCAAGTGGTGAAGTCTGAGAATTATTGAACATTGCGGAGTAATTTAAAAATCCTTTTTAAAGCTCAATATTAAAATATTTAATATCTGGCACGCGCCAGAGTTGAGATAATATCGTTTAGATCCATCGAATTACTCTTCAACTAAATGTCTAGAGATAAATTACTCTACAACTAGATATCTGGAGACCAATCAAGACCAATTGAGGCTCCGGATATTAAAAGGGCACTTGCAGCATTGATTTTAAATGTTAAAACTGACCTTTTAAGATCTGGAGCCTCAATTACTCTACATTTGGCTGTCTGATGCCGCTTAGAGAGGAGAACCATCCCGATCGGGACGGGCTATACTTCAGCCAGATTAATTGCATGCTATTGAAGAGAATATTGTTATAGAGGAAACCATTACTGATGAGTAAAAATTCCTGAAGTGGACCTCTGAAATCTTTTGTTCACGCTTATAGCTCAAGTCAAGTGTTTTCGATTACTAGACCCTATAGTGGACACCCTACTCCACTTTTTTGAAATCTAAAATTAATGCCCAATTATCATAAATTTTCATTTACTGACCATTTAGTATCCTGTTGTCCTGTTGGTTTCATAGGAAAAAGGGTAGTTGAGGAACCATGAGCAATGTTAGCTACAGATATTGTGGGACTGCTTACTCGCAGCTCTAAACGAAATGTCTATGTTCTACATTGGATATACAACATTATAGAAGAATAGTTATACAAGATTTATATACTAAGAGAATCGAGATCCTATCGCTTAGGAAAGCTAGAGGTTTAATAATAATATCAACAAAAATTTACGATCTAGCTATTTTACGTTGGGGTTCACCTAAATTTTTGCTTACAGATAATGGTACAGAATTCATAAATAATCTAATAAAAGCTTTACTTAAAAAGTAGTTAACGTCCTGAATTATCTAGAATGACACTCAATTGGCAAATTCTCAGATTAAGATTTGCAACCATATTATTCCTTATAATTGAGTTGTGTGTTCTAGATTTATTCCCGTAATATTTCTTCCTGACATATTATAAATTTAATTTCAGATTGCGTTCCATCATCATGACAGCGACATACAGAGGGGCTATTTTCGGCGTTCACCCGGTGTTAACACCCAGTTAACAAAAGTCCAACCATCAATAATATTTATTAACATTATGTTAGAATATTGTTGATAAAAAGAAGAAGGTTGCATATTTTTTCAATTATATTTTGAAAAAATGTATTCTTCCCTAAGGCTTCAATATATACTATTTCACTCGATGGTATGCGAGTATTTCAGATCTTACATTAAAAGTCATACATTACCGGTGGTTAAACTAATCTCCATGGCCCGCTGTCGGTGACCAAGAACCTTGAACTGAGGTAGGGAAACTTCACTGCTGACGCCTACGCTGTGCATTCCTTCATTCCACTTGTACCGGATATCCGTCATCGTGTATCCGACTGAAAATAAAGAGTCCCCTCTTGCGGTTGGTACGTACCTTGCCGAACCATCAAACTTACGTAGCCTCAGAGGGGGCCTCCACTTACCCTTACCATTTTATAACACTAATATTGGTTTTCATGTGTTCACATTGTGTTTACACGAATTTAGATTGTATATTTTTTAAAAATGGACTTAGAGCGTTGAGCCTAAAATTAAAGATAAGAGACAAAAAAAGAGGGATATTTTCACTGTAAACCTATTCTTTCTAATTCTCTCCTTCAATTTTCTTTCTTTCCCTCTCTTCAATTAATAATTTAGAAAGAGTAGAAAAAACAAATTTAAAGGAGAGAATAAGTCAAAGTTACTAGATTGATACTAAACCGCCGTTCCCAATTAGTAACCATTTTGTATACGTCCCTGAAAAGGTAGGTAGTGGGGTGTGTTACAGTTTCAAGTCCAGTAGTAGGGTTAATTCCGGACAATGTTACAGTTTGGAGTCCTGAGTGTAATTACATTTTGTTCTTGAATATTTTAACACTAATGCCACAGTAATATTACAATAATGTTACAAAGAAACAACTCTTATTTATAAGACCGATAACATATAGTACATTAAGCAACAAGGGATCAAAAGGCAGCCTCATTACTAATTTTTCAAATTTGTAAACCCTCTTTACATTGTCTATTAACTAGTATCTCGTAGTTTTAAACTCGAATCCATCTTATAAAATTCTGGTTGCGAACTACAATTGGTTCTAATTTCTCAGATAACTTCAAAAAGCTACTCAAAAGAAGGAATTAGGAGTGAAAAGTATTTCAATGCAAATTTTTCTACTAAATATGAACCTGAAGTCATAATTAACATATCGGCTTTTGAAACAACCTAACAGCATTGGATAATACAAGATATTTTACGAACACCTTTAGTAACATCTGGAAATTAGGATATACCAGTTTATAATTAAGATGTCATTTTTAAGGATATAGATGTTTTAACACTGCAGAAACCAGGTCTTAAAATGAGGCTAGTCATAGAGTAGCAACAAAAATAAGACTCATACGTGACAACACGTTTTGTGTGAAGGATATCGTAAATAAATCCTTAACGAAACCCTTGGTACCGTGGTCACTAAGTAATTATTTCCTCTAGGGAATTAAACTTTTATTTAAAAAGTTCTCTACTATAATCTAATTACATTCTAGTTCTTTAATGATTCCGAAAATAAAGAAAAGCACATACTTGCATTAACAATATGCTTTCATTTGATGAATAAAAAATGTATCATTGTCTATGTAGTCTACATTATCCTATAGACAAAGTGACATGTAGAGGTCAATTCTTTTAGGTGCAAGATTTTTCAAGTTGAACACGTACAGCTCAAAGTGAATGAGTGTAGTTTAAGTGGATGAAAGAGAAATACAGACAGATGCAAAACAAGTGATATCTTTACTTCCTTAAAGCATGAAAGGATCTGCATCATATTAATAAAGTGCAATAAAGTGCTACAGTATTTCTTATCAAAAGGAATATAGAACTAACTTCTGCATATCTAAATAACTCAAATTGCACTGATTAGCGGAGAAAATGACTGCAAGTTAGTGGAATTTGACTGATTTAGGTAGCCAGGAGTGAGCCACTGATTCGTATACAGTGAAAGCTTCACTGATTCAATTTAAGAGAGTAAATTAATAGAAATTATGATTATTTCACTAATTTTGGAAATTATAGAGCGATTTATAAGAATACACGTGAATAGTTCGTGAGGAAGGTTAAGAATCGTTAGATATCGTGAAAATAGAGAAGGTGTGTCTCTTTGATGTAAAAATATTTGTAATGTGTATGTTTTGTGCGTATCGTGGAATTTCTCACAATGACTTCAAAAAAAAAGTCAGAACTGAGAAAGGATGATGAATATTGGGATATCTACCTGTAGATAGGTGTATGGTTGTCTGTCGTTGCCTGTGCCCGAGCACACGAAATTGCGGTAGTTCCACCTCGTTTGAGATGCCTACCGATAGTAGGCCGGAGTTCCATTTGTACCGAATATCGCGCATTGTGTATCCAACTGCCGAGAAAAGACAAGAACACAAAAATCTTGGCTCTAACATACAATACATATATAAATTATACTCTTAATAAAAATTTAAATGTTGATACTAACATATAATATTCTTAGCACTTTGATGCGAGAACAATAAAAAAATTGTTTTTTTTTCAATCAAAGAAACCATTTCAATTTCTTCGCTATAATTTTTAACAAATTTTAAGTAAATTATGTTATATTGATTATAAATTAAATTTGCAAAATATTGCAAAAAAGAGTTATTTCGATAGAAAATTAATTATTATCAAGTTTGTCAATGATTATCCTTGCAATCGCTTCAATGTGCTGAAATATATAATTTAAATAATATCTACTTATAATTAAAACGATTCATAATAAATACAGATTTTTTAAAAAGATGAATAGAATTTTGGAAAAATTACTCTAAAGGATAAGGAAGAAAATTGAGAATAAAAGACAAATGAGAAAAAAGAATATAATATACTAGACGAAAAATTATTCTAATCACTTATTAATCTACAAGTAAAAAGTGCTTGAGCTTAAAAACAAATATAAATAAAAAGCAGATTATATGGGTAAATGTCACGAAATGGGGTGGAATCGGAAACTTCCCCATGGAATTTACGTGAAGTTTTCATGATATTTCTGCCCCCATAGAAAAATAATCTCGCATTAGAGAAAAAATTCTTTTCAACTATCCTGTCAAAACAAATGTATTCAATTTCAATGTAGAATATTTCTATGTTTTTATGATTAATAATAAAAAAAATAATTTTTTGAACTTTGTTGTCAAACTCATCTAATTCAAATGAAATAAGAAAATAAACTAATTTATTAATTAATTTAAGTAGTTAATAATAAACCTCAAAAATTCTTTTGTTTTATTATTAATCAGGAAAGCATAGAAATATTCCACATTGAAATTAAATAAATTTGTTTTAAGAGGATATCAGACAAAAGTTTTTCTGTTTAGTGCGAGATTACTTTTCTTTGGATCCAAAAATTCCATGTAAATTCCATTGAAATTTCTTGAGGAAGTTCCACGCGGTACATTTCGTAGAGTTTTTCTACGTAGCAATTTTTTTTAGTTACAAAGTTTGAGAATACCTAAAATGTCGAATTGAATTTCTAAAATTTTCAACGATTGGATGATTTTGTACAAAAAAAGCTGGAATATTAATCTGTCTGAGATTACACAATGCAAATAAAATGTGAAAACTGAAAAATTATGACATTTCTTATATGACAAACTAATTTAAAGACGTTTTGCTTAGATTTGTACAAAACTGGAAAATTTAATGGTTTTAAATATCGCAGTTAGAAACTATAAATAAATTTATAATTTTTATTATTTATTATTACTTCAAACTTTAATATTTGACTAATAGTCTGAATTTGCTTATAATTACATTATTACAATACATTTTTACATCTTCTTTGCAATTATTGTAAAATTAATTTAATTAATTAATAATTAATTAAAAACATAATTTAGTTATATGTAATTAACTTAATTTAATTTAACTTAATTTTAACATTACTTTTATTTTCATATACATCATGACGTAAAAACGTGATATTCAGTGTGAAAACAAACACACATAAATAAACATTTAGAATAAAAACATAGAGAAAAAGAAAGTGTCATGCAGGCGTGCATTAATAAAAAGGTAAGTTAGTAATGCGGATAAACAAACCAAAAATCTAGTTTATTAAACTAGCACATATCATGACTTTTTTCGAAATGTAATATACGATAATATATAACAAACTAACACATGAACAAAAAGTAGTATTACTGTATAGGATATATTTAAATCATTTGTAGAGCAATTTTTTTTTCTCTTATACTGAGAGAAATTAAAGGTTCATAGAACTTTATTTTTGTGGTAAAATTTGTCTTTAATCAGTGTCTTATGTTTTATGAACAGAAACTGTCTAGTTGACATAGAAAAGTGGTTAATACAACCAGAAAATTTATGAAAATGTTTCGTTTCATTTAAGGTTATATTCTTTTATCAATTTATCGTGGATAATATAAACTTTTTAAATATAATTGAAACCTTTTGACAATTTGTTTACTACGTTTTTTAGATTTAAAATATAATAAATTATTTATTTAGTATAGCAATTTAATAATTATTTCAACAAGTTACAATAAAAAGTTTTAAAGTTATTAATAATTATCGATGATGCAGAAAGCAATTGCAGTTTTTAATTGGGTACATAATATACAAAGCGGTTATACTTATCTACAATTACTGTTTTTAACATGCTTTTTCTCTTACCTACTGTTTTACATAGCGTACTTCAGATAAACATTCGCGAAGTGATTTTGAAAGCACAAAGTGACATTTTATTTTCAGAAGAATATCGTATTGATGTACCATTAATATGAATAAAATGAAACAAGAATTAATCACATGCCCTGGCTAGATGCACAATGCGTCAAAATTCGGTCGCTCGTGAGCTTTTTTTATATTTAGCTTTTAGCCTCCTTAGGGTTTGCCCGTCATTGGGCCAACGTTCCCAGGCACGAGGCTCAGTGCTGTATATCGGAGGTCCTCAGGATAATTTTCGAATGTGTCAAAATAAAAACTTTAGTAAAGATTAAAGGTTTAGCAAAACAGCTCTAATCATTAAAATATGTATTTTCTATAGCTTACGCCACATAAGCAACAATCCAACTTTTATTGAAATTATTCATAAATTTTCGATTCTGAATTGGAATTCTTTTCTGATATTCTTCTGCAACCTTCATAATCTTTAGTTGCGAAGCTCATGAAGAGGAATTCCTTACAGTGTGATGAAAGTTGTATTGTTTTCATTGTAAAACTATTATTCAATAATACATTGGTTTTAGTGGAGGCCCTTGAGAGATTACGTATTTTGTGACTAACATATGAAAATATGTATTTTCACAAAAATCAACTAATTGTCGACAATTACACTCGAATCTGAATCGGAGAGCTCGGGATGTAAATGCGTCATATTTAGTATCCGTTAATATAACTTTTTAAATGTAGTTTTTAGGTTTATAAGTGCAATTTTATCTTTCCACTATATTATATTATTTATATTATATTAATTTCTTATAATTAAATTAGAATGTGAAAAGAAATATGTACACAAATAACATACTTCGTATGGGCTTGATCGTAGGGTCAGTGAGAAGTCATCCCTGATTAGTCTCACTGATTCAGATTCGCGTATAATAAACACTTAAACACTATCACTAAAAAATTCTTATTTAAGTTTTAGTAACAAAAAAAAAAATTATTATTGAAAATAAAGATGTTTAATATTAAACATGACCAAAAAATTTGTTCGTCGTAAAAATAAGAATTCGTATACAGATTTCAGAATGTGACAATCTTTTTCTTGATTTATATTTCGTGTTTCACTTTTTATTTCTTCGTGTTCATGTAAGTCATTTGTGTACAAATTCTATGACAATGTATGTTTATGTAGATTCATGAAAAATTTTAAAAATTAAATAAAAAACTACTGTTCTGAAAGTATTATTTTACTTTTTTGCAATTCACTTAATATGGGAACTATTCATGATTGAATTTTCCGCATTACATTTTTTTTTAAATAAATGTGCTGGTGTGTTAAAATTGTTGACAAACCGTGTAAAAAGAAGGAAGATTTGAAAAAAAAATTTTTACTATTGATTCTTTAGCAAAAGAAGCTAATTTGCAGCTGTCAGTGATTCATTGAAACACAATTATATATTAATATTCAGACAAAATTTATTAAAACTTTCTTGAAACTTTGAAAATTTTTATTATTCAAACATTCTTATTACAAAACTTTTTTTAGTAAACAAAAAAATTAAAAAATTTGTTAGAATTTTTAATATTGGAAGAATCAACCTCTGCTAGTTTCATATATATGTGTATCGCGTGTTTACAACTAAATCAATTGTGTGAAACTGTCACATGAAAGCTTTATAAAGTTAGGTGAATATATTTAAAAGTAATGTTACTTACAGCTCTCGATCTCAATATGACAAAGCTGCCGATCCATTGGAAAATATTGTAGATTCATGGGACACGAAGCTGTGATTGTTAAACTGTAACAAATAATATTTGCAATAATGAAGTTCTTTAATAGTGCTTAAGTTAATTAGTTTTATATTATAAAACAAAATGTTTTATGTCAAACTTTATAAATTTCAGCAATTTTTAATAAGTGTCTCACAACTGGACACATTTTTTTTTTTGACAAAAGCGATGTGCTCGGAAAATTGATTATAACTTTTTTTGAGTCCATCTGAACACTATTCTTTCTTTGAATAAAAGTTGCGTATTTAAGTTACTTTTCGAACGGTATATTTTATTTACAATTTCGTTTACCCATTAACAATTATTTATGGGTAAAAAACAAAACCTGTCTCATACCTAGACACACTTCCCTACTATTCTTTAAATCACGATTTTTCTGTAACAACAAATGTCAGAAAATTAACAAATATACCATTCGAAAGCTTATATAATTCTACGTTAAATAATATATATTCGAAAATTTTAATAAATTACCCAAAAATTCTAACAATCGACTAATTTAAAAAAAATAAAAATTTGTTTGGGAATTTTTTAAACTTCTGCATATTTCTGCAGACAAAATTTGAAACTAAAATAGATGTCATCATTCAAGTCTAATTTTTAATTTAAGACCAAAAAAGTTAAAAAAAATCTTATTCGGTTCACAAGACATCATTATAAACGTCAAAGCATTTTTAGTCAAAAACCGTATAAAATTTACTATTTGAATGCATTTGTCATGTTTTGATGAAGTCTTCAATATCTTTTTTAATGTTGATTCCTTCAAGTGCCTCTGCTATAATTTTTCTTCTGTTTGTTTCAATGTATTTTTTTATTAAATATATTTCCTTAACACCTCCTTTCCATATTTTAAAAAGAGTTCTTGATATTATGTTTCATCTACATCTTTATATTTAATCTTTCTTTTCTAGGCTCTATTTCTAAACATTCTGTTAACTGTTCATTTGTCACCTGAAAACTAAATTTTATTTTGTCGTCTTCTTGTGTTTCTTTGTTTGTAATAAAATTTTCTTCTATCCTTATCTGTCCAAATTCTCGTCTTATGATTAACTGTCCGGTTTGTTCTATTTTAATTCTTTTCAATCGTACTTTATTTACGTCATCATTGTCTAATTGAGGTATATCTCTAATCCATTGTACTTCTGTTTCCTCGTTGAAATCTCTTACTACTTTGTATATAGCTTGGTTAATATTTTCCTTCCATAAACTAATAATTTCCACATATAGTTTGTGCCTCTTATAGGTTTAAGTATAGCTCTCAAGTTCCTCCTGGCTGTGAATCTATTTACATATTTTCGTATCCTGCTGTTCTTAAGGTGTCATGTGTATTATCTGTTGTCATCTGAACCATCGGAATTTGCGAAAAGGCGTCAGCAAATGATATTGGTTTCTTTTCGTCGATTTGTCCTTGTGATAAAATTGCTCCTAATCTTTTATTTGATGCATCAGTTGTTAAAGCAATAACTTGATTCCAATCTTGAAACTGCAATATCGATGCTGTTATTAATTAGTTCAGAAGATGTGTTTTCTTCTTTCTGTGTCCATTTAAATTAAATTTCTTTTCGAAATAATTTAGTTAGTGGATTTGCTATTTTAGAGAAGTTTTCAATAAATTTACTGTAATAACCAATAAATCTTAAAAAATTATGTTCTTTCGTAAACGATAATATCGATAACATTCATTACCTGTTAGTCCTTTTAATCCATTATTTATGATTCTTTGAAATGTTAGAGGAACATTTTTTAGACCAAAGGGCATTCTATTATATTCATAATGACCTTCGTTTGTGCTAAAAGCTGTTTTCTCTTTGTCCTTGGGATTCATTGTTTGGAACTCTCCACAACGGTGAATTACAAGTAGACATGCTTTTTGAAAGTATATTTTCTTTTAACATTTTTTTAATTTGTTGGTAAACTTCTTCCTGTAACGTAAGTGGATATTTATATTGCTTTGTTTTAACAAGTTGATTGTCTGTTGTTTTTATTGTATGCTCTGTTAGTTTAGTTAAAGGTTAGTTAAATATTAATTTAATTAATTAATTTAGTTAAAGGTTAATTTAACTAAATGACTCTTTGTTCTTCTGCTAAAAGGAAAATGTGAAATTCTGGTATAATTCTTAGTAAGTCTTCTTTTTCTTCATTTGTATGGTTTATAGGATTTATCCATAAGTCTTCACGGGCATCATACATACTTTCAATTTTTACTGTATTAGGTGGTAATATTGGTTTTCTTTCGTGACTATATTTTCTGACTGCTTCAAAATTATACATCCTCTTTCAAAATTAACAAAACGGATTTTATCTCTCTTATCCGCACTACATTTCGAATCAAGTATTTTAGGCCTGAAGTTTCAAAAACGTTTTTCTATGCAAATTAGAATTTTTTGATAGTTAAGTAATTAGTAATGTTATGTGATATATCCGACATTTATCAAAATTATCATCAGCTCAAATTACTATTTCATAAAATTGTGATTTAGAAGATTTGTCATTTAAGAGTCCTGGCATCTGTCAGAATTGTGTTTAGATAGACTGGTCATATAACAAAATTGTCATGTGCAAGATCCGTCGTGTACTGGAATTCGACAGAACTGTCACTGGACAGAACTGATATATAACATAATTGGTAATTACGAGACCCGACATTTAACAGAATTGCCATTTAACAGTTGGCTCATTCCATGTGCTCTGCAAATAAAATTTTTCTATGAATCATTTACTTACCGTATACTTCTAGTTATGCTTCCTGTGTGTTGAATACGAAGGAATTCGTTACTAGTGGTGGCGATGTGAAAATAAGATTGCTTCTCGTTGACGAAAAATGTATCTGGTACCCAAATATTTTTGATAAACTCCGATCCAACACTCAAGGTCTCTACGCCTGTCCTTTTCTTAAAAGCCAGTCTCGGATCCTTCCAGAATTGACGAAAGTAAAAATCCAAAGTAAAATCCTAATTGGAACATTTACAAAAATACATTATAAAAATAGTTTTGTTTGCACATTTATAAAAATTTTTAAACGAAGTGATCTTTCGATAAAGTCATTGAGCATCCCAAAAAGTTCCTGAATATCTCTATGTTTAAAGCATAGAGATATTCAGGAACTCTCTGGGACAATTACAGTAATGATACTACAATACTCCATTAATATTATATATTAATATTTAATACATGATAATAATCAAAAGTACACAAAATTCATAATTTTTATATACTACTGTAATATAACCCTTGAAACGTATATTTTAATATTCCTGTAATATTATTGCATTTAGTGTATCAAATTTTGATTAAATTATCAAAAACTTTAAAAAATATTGTAATAGAAAAAATTTTCTATTTTTATTAAAAAATAATAACAATAATAACGAGTTTTTGGAAAATCGATAACCACTTCGCATTTTGTAACACAGAGAAGAATTACTAAATAAATTATTTTATCCTTTTTAATGAAAATTAAAGTAGAGTGATGAGATTGAAGTCGAGTTTAAATGGCATGATTCATATGAGATTCATTTACGTTGTATATATATATATATATATATATATATATATATATTATTTTACAAAAATTGAAAAGAATTTAAATGAAAAGACATTGTAAAATATTGTTTTAATTTCAATTAAATTCATTAGGAAATGAAATATATTTATAAAAAAATTTGTTTTAAATCTTTAAATGCGAAATTCAACACAATCTTAAAATATTGTCTAGTTCTGTAAAGGTAAATCTAAGAAAGTGTCTAAGTCTACGATACAAAATGGTCGTCCGTTATCGCCAGTTAACAATTATTACATCTCGAGTAATAATTATTTTTGTATTCTCTTAACTTTCCAGAAAACTTTGTGACGTCCAAATATACAACTTTCTCACTGAAAGTTTGAATATTTCAGGTAAACAAAGCGCTGGAAGATTCGAAGTCAATAATTGTGCAGTAGTTCAGAAAATAATTAATAACTTTTTCAATTATCAATTAATTTTCCTTTGCACTGTCCATCGGACAGTAAAGACACAGTAAAGTTTTTTTTTGGATCCCGTGTTGAACTCAAAAATATAATTAAATTTGTAGCTTCTGAAAAATCAGTTTTTTGATAATATTTTAAAAACTATAATATTTGGCAACTAATTCGAGCGTCAGAGAATTACAACCGGTTCTTTGATCGAGACCATCAATTTTCATGCTCTGTAAGATGCAAAAAGAATTAGGTGCATATATTGAAAATGAAAATATTGCTTGCTATCTAAATAAATGTCGTCAATTCTACTAGTTGGAAACCCTTTTTTACTGCGATTTGGTCATAATATGTCCCAATACTGTTGTTATAGAAATTCATATTGAGTTATCGCTTATTCTCAATACGAAAGGGCTTTAACAAATACTTTCTTTTTTACTAGGAAATTTTAACTCTAACGCTGGCCAAATTAAATTTTACTACTTTTATGGTTAGTACTAGGTTGTGTTGAGTTTTGGAATTTCGGACTTAAGATTTAAAATACATTTTTTTTGCTAATGTTTTTCAAGACAAGTAAATATATTTTGAGTACTATATTGTTTCCAATGTCTTAACATTTAATTTTATCATTTAAATAAATAAAGAAATAGTGATTGCTAAGAGACAGAAAACTAAACATAGAATTTACAGTTATAACTGTTTTTAAATCTAAAAAAGATAATAGCAAAAATTGTTTAGGAAAGTAAATTAACAAAAATCGTAATATAAAAATGAGTGAGAGTAAAAATTTTTATTTACATAATTAGATTAAGTGATCTTGGTATATGTATTAATGTCAAGTGTATCGTATTAAATAAGCAGCACATGACCGACAGCAATATTCTAAGTAGTTAAATTCATGATTGAATAAAGGAATATGAGAGGAAATTCCATTGAAAAAATAGTGGGATAAAAGATTTTGTGTTTCTTAAAAAAGCAAAACGTTGGATTATTGTAAACAAATATTCATGCTACATGCTTGTCTAAATTTATACAGGAAATGCGTTCTTAAAATTCTTGGATTTAACATGCAGAATATTTGCTGATACCTCCACGTATATCATCCTAAAAAATACTAATAAATTTCTATTTTAATAAGTACGATTTTATTGCGGAGAATTTAAAACTATATTTTAAATAATTCTGAAAAAAGTAATATAAAGTATAAATCACAATTAAAATTATAACGCTAAAATAAATAAAAAAAAATATTTTCTTGGCTATTTCAAAAAGAGAAATATCATTTATATAATATCATTTTTGTAAAATTTGGTTTTTGGTATAAGAATGCTGATGTTTTTAGAAAATTATTTTCATGCAACAAGTAGTAATAAATAAATTGTATAGTACAATAGCATTGTTAAAAAATAAAACGGAAATGTTTAAAGACAAATTTTAAGATTGCCTTTAAAAAATATGTTTTATATTAGATATTTTTTTTAACTTTTATAAAAAAAGAATAAACGACTTAATTACTATGCGAGCTTTAGAAAATGAATAATTATAGATAAATTTAGGAATGTGAAGTGTAAAAATACCTGAAGTATTTTTAAAATAAATTATAGCAAACTTAAAAAAAACTTAAAAATTATCCATCAGATAAATAATGTTTTGATAACCAGATGGCGCTCAATTATTAGAATTAATTGCTAAACTAAATACCCAGACTTTATTTGGTGAGCAAATCCTTTGGCAAATGAAAATCAGATCATTGCATGGTGCTCGAATTAGTAAAAGAAAATTTTTCTCCTATAGATTATGTTATGATTTTGATTAAAGCGTGTTAGTACACTTTTGATTATAAAAAAGCATATCCTCCGCAAAATTATTCATTCGATTATTACCACTCGTTTAAGACACTCAGCTGTAATCAAGAAAGAAGACACAATGGAAGGACCACTCAGTAACAACGAAGTCTTTATTTTTTGGAACACAGCAATGGTTTCCAAAAATTTAATTCTGGGACTTTTTAGAAAAAGTTAAGGAACTACAGGACAACCTGCTCATTCCCGACCAACAATTATAATGTGTATCACAGATTGTTGGCGATGAAGGAAACCAAGACATTCTCGCAAAAATTGCAGAAGAAACCCAGTAAAATTTTCTGAACTGCTTTCTCCTCTCTCACTTTCTGCTCTATTCCATCCCATGAATCCAAAAAAACTAAACATTTTTTTCAGACTCTGTTCTTTACATGTATTCCACTCAGCTACGTATACTAAAGCCAATCAATTTCTCGTCACTATGACTGAAGATTGCGCCAATGAAGATCAGAAGGAATTACTACTAGTCAAGTCAACCAGTAACTTCTAAGACACTATGCTTAGAATGAAGACCTCTGTTCCAGTACTGCAAACAACAGGAGTCAAAGCATCATACTCAGCCTAAAATAAGGAGAAAAACTGATTGCAAATTTAAAGCTATAAGTTTGCTAATACAGGAAAGGGACAAGAAAAATTATTTCAAATATTACAACACTATCTGCAATGAACAAGGAATTTTTAAGAAGATTTTGGTATTTCCACGTGAAATTACTCAGAAGATGCACATCAAAATCAACTCTACGCAAGAATACTTCTACTCTTACAACTCGAAAACACGAAGAATATTGTAGAGCCAATGTTAAGCAACTAGTTATTGGTCATGAATTCTAACCCTTCAGCATAGAGATAAGTCTAAAGTGACAACATTCCCAGAAGGAGTTGTACTCAGACGTGAATAGAGGCACATCTCTCTTCACTTGAAGCGATGATGTAGAATTGTTTCTTTGCTCAGGGTACATCCTGGGATAAGAATCATCTTCACAGAGAGTTAATTATTACGATACGTTTCTTGATGGGACAGAGGGTTTAGGTAGCGTCCTGACTCTTTAACGACGCCATCTTCTCTTTGTGAAACAAGCGAAATCGATTCTCCAAGTTTACTTCACATACATAGTCGCGTCCAATAACGATAATCGGGAAGTAAATTCATGACTAACTTCGGGAATAATTAAATCTAGTAAAGCTCGCTTTCTCTAAACTAGGTCTTTGATACTTTTATAACTATGAATCTTTATAACTTCGCAAATTTTTCAACTCAAATTGTTCGAAATTTAATTAAGAAATGGTAACATGCAATTGTAAGTCGGTAAAATATTTCTTTCCGAATTTTTTATGTTCGAGAGAGGGCACTCTTTTTCTTATTATTTCTCAGCTAAATTTAAACAAATATTTTTTATTTAAAGAGGAAGTTATAGGTTATAATGGGAAAAAATAGGACAGTGAAAGTTATGAAGGACACCTTTAAGGACAAGTGATGACATCCCTAGAACACCCTGGGGGACATCCATTTTCTTGAAGCAGGTTTGAATATCCGTGTATTATGAGGGAAGTTATGGTAAGTCCTGAATGTCCTTTAACCATTCCCTTTAAACAAAATTTATTTATTACACTATTATTAATTACAATTATATTAGAAATATAATAATTATGATAATTTTATATATTTTAATTGTAATGATTCTATCACTCGGTTTTTAAATTAATTAAGTGTTGAAGTTAACGATCACTCCGGCTTGACTCGGAGTGATCGTTAACTTCAAAATTTAATTAATTTATATATTTTAATTATGTAACACTTATTTTTAGAATATCTGTATGAAAAGGCACGTCCCGTTTTCAAATAAAGTAGATAAATAGATAATAAAATATTTTCAAAATATAAAATTATAACTGTTAAATGGAGAAAGTTTCTCAATTAGAAACACGTGGGAGGCATATGCAAACAATCACATAAACAAAATCTATTAAAAAGGCACAAAGTCATGCAATATGTTTATAAGCAAGGCAGGCAATTTTTTTGAGCTAAAAGTTGGTTGCGATAAAGTTTCTGAGAACGACGGTCTAGTCGCTTAAGAACACGTTTTGGATTAGTTGACGTTTAATTTGTTTATTCTGTAAATTTGAATTAGTGAAGT